AGTTCTCCAGGTTTTCTGAAGTCCTTTCAGTGTTTCTTTCGACATTGGCTGCTTTTTCACATAATTTCAGTCCAGTCCTTGTACCTGACCATTTTCAGAAGAATGTTTGTCTTATGAAACATCAGTTGAAAGTTTTGGTTCAAATCAAGGAAGGAGAGAGGCCATCTGTAAAACACGGTAAAGGCTGTTATGGTTTGGAGCTGCATTTCAGCCAGTGGTGTTAGAGATCTTGTAAATATTGATGCGACTATAAAAGCAGAAAAGTAACATCGAATTCTGATCCACGGTCCAGTATCTTTTGAAAATCATCTGATGGGCAATAGCTTAATTATTCAGCAACACAAACATCCTAAACACACTGCCAGTGCAGTAAAAGCATACCTGTCAGAATAACACATAGATGAACACTATCAGTCATGGATTGTCCTCCCCAGAGCCCGGACCTGAACATTGAAGTAGTATGAGATCATCTTGACAAAGAACAGAACAAAAGGCAGACAACATCCAAAGAAGAGCTTTGAATATCCTTTAGGAAGCCTGGAGAACTATTCCTTAAAGAAATTACAAGAAAGTTTAACAGGTGAGTTCAGACTGTGCTAAAGAATAAAGGCGGCCTTACCAAATACTGACATTCAGGCCTATTAGCATGGTAACTATCTGTGCCTTATATGCTGTATTTCCATATATGTATGCTGATGTTTCAATAAGTCATTGCACCTATTTCCTGTTTTCATAGCAGAATAAAGAAATCAAAGGTAGCTCAAGACTTTTGAATGGTGCAGTATGCATGCGAGAGTTTCCTTTTTAAGTTGATGGTTTAACCGTGTGAGCAGGGTAACACACTGATGGACTTCAGTGTAACATACCCAATACATCCTTCACTTTGAAAATAATGTCAAAGCTGCAATTACAGTAGCTATTTTAAGCTTTGAATCCTGAGTGTAAACACTTTCCTCTCTGACTCTGCTGCATCCCTGAAACAGTCATTTAGCTCAGGACCCTGACATGCTGTCATATTAAACATGAGCTGTAAATGGTTTGGGGGAGGTGAGAGAGGTTGTAGATACTTATGTTATTAGTGTGAGTAACCCAAACAAGCATCTAATCTCTGCAGCATGAAGAGCGTAGTTTTGCACTGTGTTAGATAACAGTATTTGATTCAGCTTTCAGCCAAGATGACGATTTCAGTTCTTGGGTTTATTTCAAAACGACTCCGCGCTAATCGCATCTAGGCCACATAGCATTCAGGCACTCTTTAAATCCTATGTGAAAGTTGCATTTGCAGCAGTAACATTAGGCTTATAGTAATGTTCCCAGTGCATATAAGCCCCTCACATTAAAAAAAACAGAGCACTAGAGGGCGCTGCAAATAAACACCCGATATCTATACTCTCACTGTTTCAGAAAGCAACCGAAAAATATTAAAAAATAAAGGCAAAAATCTCTTGATCACGCCATTATTTGCTATGAAAATGGAAAGCCGCTCCAGTTTCAGAAAACACAAGCAATATAAAAATGCGGCAAAGAAACACACAAAAGAACAACAGAAATAGGGGGGAAAAAGCAGCAAAACCTCATAGAAAGGGGAAGCATTACCATGACGGACCAGCTGCGGAAGCTAACTGTAACTGTTTTAGTGACTAAACCAGGAGTTTGCGTTCATTCAGCCATTCTGTTCATGGTTTAGTGTCAAAGTATCCACATTAATCTATTAATAGCAAATTCATTTTTTTTAATGATCAAATATCCCAAATTTAATTACACTTAATGTTTAATGTGGTAACTGAATCCCCCTGGACTGTAGCTAACTCTGCATGACATTCCAGAAAGTTTGCACAGATTCCCAACCGAAAAACAAATGATGATTTACAGAATACACAACTGGGTTCCCATAATCAAGTTTTTACAGCTGTCTTCTTCTTCTTCTTCTTCTTTTTTTTTTTTACAGTGCAGTTCACGTCTGAAGCTGGTCCGTCACATAATTGTCTCCCAAAAACACTTCCGTTTTGTTTTGTCTGCTTTTGTGGTGTTTTTCCATTTTTCTTAAGTTGCAGTTTGTTTGACTTCACTGGGCCACCGTAGAAAGATGACACGATCTCATTCACCTAAATATCAAAGCTCATAAAGTTTTTAACTCAATGCAAATTGTTAGTTAAAATACATGTCAGATGTTAGCATTGGTTGGAGTTTGAAAGAAACTCTAAAGAACCAAAGAGACTGTCCTTAGAAAAAATAATAAAGTCTGTTAAGTAATGGGTCTCACTTCACCACCTGTGTAAATCTCCATTAAAACCGTGCAAAATAAGGGATTTTCTTTAACTCCGGCATAACAGCATTCAGATTTCTTCTTTTTTAAGATTATTATTACTTTATCAACAAATTGATTGATTGATTATGATTATTATTGGTGTTCAGTAAATTTCACATTAAGTGTTGTGTGTTAACCTTTATGAAGAAGTCTATAAATACCTCAGAGCAGGTGGCTAAAGCCTGTGTGGCCCATCTGCTCCTTAACCCTCAGAAGGAAGGAGTCAAAGATGTAACTGTGCAGGTGTGTGTGTGTGTGTGTGTGTGTGTGTGTGTGTGTGTGTGTGTGTGTGTGTGTGTACAAATACACAGATCTGTTCAAGTCAAGTGATAATGCATTTAGTGTAACTTATGTTTGTCTTTCTTAATGTATCATATGAAAGGCTCAGAGAGAAAGACCCTTCAACACTTACGCAACGTAAACAGCTAATAATACTTGCCCTTACCATACCCTAATGAGATACAGTGTGTGCGTTTGTGTGTGCGCTTCTCAAACAGTCAGTCCATGTGATGGTAAAACACAATAAGCCTCTTAGGTCTAATCCTGCCCCGTTGGGAAGGCAGTGTCTCACACATGCCACGCACACATACGTGCACACATAGCGCCAACGTGGCCAAATCTGACAGTTCTTTGGTTTAATGCCATCAAAATCCTGAAAGAGAAAAGTGATAAAAAAAAACAAAACATTTATTGTTATTGTCGGAAAGCAACCTGTTTGGTCAACAATATTACAGGACAGTAAGAAAGTCATCATCATCATCATCATCTTTATTCATAAAGCATTCTAAAACAACCACAGGTGATGCAAAGTGCTGAACATTGGAACAAAATACTAAAATTATATAATACATTAATAAAAAAACAAATGAAAGCAAAAAGCAAAGTAATTAATTAATTAGTTAGTAGCTAATTTAATTACAAGAAAAGCTAAGTCTCGCTGAGGCCGAAAATCAAAGGATAAAATTGGGGTTAAGACGTGTTTTAAAAGTGGACAGTGTGTGCGATTATCAAAATTCTTTATCATAATTTAGATTTTCAGCACATGAGAGCAGCAAAGGAGAGGTAACAGCATCTGAAATTATATGAGAATGAGAATGTTTGCTATGACCCTTCTGCCATACAATGTTTCTTTTTTTTTTAAAAAAAACAATAAAATAAAAATCAACAACACACAACAAAAAGGAGAAACTGAAGACATGTTAATGTAATGTGGCATATAAATGCACAGGAAGAGGAAGAGAGGAGAATTGCTTTTTTCACCATGGGAGGTCTCCCACCAGCCTGAATTTACAGCAGGAAAAACCAAGTTGTGGTCCAGAGCCATCCATAAGCTTCAAAAACAGCCCCAACGAGGCAAGATTTACAGTGCTGCTTTGGTGTCCAGTTGTAGATCCTAAGCAGGTATGCAACTGATACAGTTCTCCAAACAATAACATGTAGCTTTGAGTTGATGATGCCCTGCATAGGTCAAATACAGAATAGTTGAAAAGTGCAGTCCAGAGCAGGTAAGGTGAAGGCAGATGAGTTCCCCATGAAAGAGAAAACCTTTGGTTGGCTCTAAAAGGCCCCTGAAAAGTCTAGAGAGAGAAAGCGAGATCATATTTCTCACATATGCGCTTCTCTTTATTATTTGCCAGTGTAATCCAGAATTGAATCCTTCTCTTCACACACAAAGGCTTGAATGATTAGGCGACATTGTCTGTGCTGCTCATAGGGGACTGTCAGATTGTTTGGGTCTTTTAAGGTATAAAACCTGAAGCAACTGTTATTGTTAGCTGCCAATATGAAAACTAAATACAACTGAAATTAATTAAATTGAACTGAATTGGGTGACTATGGGAAATTATTTTTGTTTGTAACACCGCTCCCAGGTGATTGTAGGATCTGTATCTTACAACAATAAGCACCTTTGCTTCTCTATATAAATGCATGTAGAAGTTGATCTGCAAAGCTGTGTGTAGGCTCTGCAAAGAACCAGAGCAAAACTATGTTTAAGCCATTAAATTTCAACTTTAGTTAAAAGTTAAATAAAGAAAAGCTATTTCTAAACAACCCTAACATACAACTCATGCATACAATAATAGGATCACCATATTGTTTTCTGTATTGTTTTGTGAGATTTCTTTATCTGAAGGTAAGTATATGCATACTCAAACCAATCACAAAAACAATTCAATCGCTCGCCAGAAATGAGGTTACATAACTGCTGCTGTCAAACCTGACTCTGGGCGTATCTTCCGGTGCACATAAGTACAAACATATGAGAGATTAGTGAGTTGCTTTGAAAGTTAGAAACTTTGAGTAACATGTTTAGCTTCTGCTTTGTGTGTCTATCCTTTTTAGCGACTCAGACAATTCCCTGAGCTCAGCGTGACCTGAACGTCTGTCTTGGCTTTCACTGAAATAGCTGAAGTAGGGAGTTTTGTATTGTGACTTCTCTCGGCACAGAGGAAGATAAAAACGTGCAAAAATGGCTTTCCTGGCACCTCTGTGATGTTACACCGGTGACTATTCTTCAGTGCAGAGCTGGCTTTTATGAATGTAGGACCGGTTCGGGCCTGCCTGTAACAACAGATATGACTGTTTCTTGGAGTGTAACAGAAGTCTGTGGTTAACTGACAGTTTGTTTTGTATCATGTACAAAAAACCAGAAGAACCTAAGACACATTTTTTTCTTTTTTTCTGTCTTCAGATTACCTCTGCTCTCCAGAAGAAAACGTCCACATGATCGACTTCACCAGATTTAAGATCCGTGACATGGAAACAGGGACTGTCCTCTTTGAGATCACCAAACCTCCGACACCAGGTGAGCTCCAACGTGCAGAAACATTATATGGCAGGTCCAAAAACCTTCCAGTGTGTCAGATGGTTTATTCGTTCATCAGTTTAATAGGAAAAACCTGCACGCATATGTGCAAATAGCTCAAATAAGCCGAGCAAGGGCTGGAACTCAAAAAGCTGACTGCTTTTTGTTGTTTTTATTCATCTTGTCTTCAGCTGGCGGTAAAAAGCAGTGTGACCCCAATGCCGGCCGTTTTGTCCGATACCAGTTCACCCCGGCTTTCCTACAGCTGCGGCAGGTTGGAGCCACGTAAGTCCCCATGTGGTGTAATATCCGGTCAACCCTGCTGCTCCAACTGAGGGAACGTACCAGAAGTAGGATGTGTGTAGGCTCTGGTGTCAGGCAGCAGGCTGACAGCGATGAGTGTGAAAATACAGAGTGGCCCAGCCCATCTGCTGACTCAGGCACCAAGTAGCCAAAACTGCTCATTATGTAGGTATATATAAAGCACCTTGAGGTGGCTGCTGTTGTAATTGCTGTTCTATATAAATGAAATTGAATTGAAAAGAGGTCAAAACATAAGATGGAAGGAACAGAATTTGGAATACAAAAGGGAATTTAACAAGCAGGGAACTAAAGGCACAGATAAGAAATCATAAACACAAGGAAAGTAAAACTAACAACATAAACAGAGAGCTCCTATCTGAAAACCAAAAGGAAGTCATAAACCCACAAAACACAGACCAAACCTAAAGGTCTTTGCAACAAAGGGTCAGAACTAAAGTTGTGAAAACAACAACCAAGATTGAAAAAAAGACCCATAAACACTAAGAAATACAGCAAGCTAAATATCAATATTATAAAGTATTGGAACATAAAACAAGATAAGAATACAAAATTAGAGAAAACCCAAAACTCCCCAAAACTCAAAACCCCTGACAGTCTTCATTTTTTAATTTTAGAACTTCTATTTATCCTTTTTATCATTTCTAATCACATTTAATTCACCAAACTATGTTTTTTTAAGCCTCCTTTATGGGTGTGCTCCAGAGCAAGCTAAACAAAACCAGGCCTTCTTTGCATTACCTGGCTTAACAAAATCTGAAACCTCAGTCAGAGATAACAGGTATCACGACCATGATTATCGACTCTCTTATTTAACTCAGACTTTCTGCTTCAGGCTCACATAAAGGGGGGCGTTTGATGTGTTGTTTCACTCTTCTTCCAAGCAAAAAGGGGATCCATGGCACATGGTCTGCTCCAATCAGAGACATTATCAGAGGAACAGGTGATGGAGATGTATGAAGAATGTAAAAATATAACAGTAAAGAATAATTAAGACAAGAGAGCAGTGCAGAGTGTTGTAAGTAAAGTGATTTGCTCGTCACGACCGCATAAAAATAATAAAGATATTCATTCAAGTTAATGTGTTTATTTTTTCACTGCTATTTATTTCTAATGTGAAAGCTACTTGTTAGAGCGCTGAAGCAACCAATGCAATTAAACACTAAAGGCTACTCAGCGTGTTCAGATCTGACACTCTCCCATAACCTAATAAAGGAGACTTGCATCCTTTCTGCTTCCATAGGAATTAAGAGGCTTTAGTAGCAGCCAGGTGCTGCTTATTGGATATCTGTGAGCTTCAGGCCCTCAAACTGTGCTGCATTAAAAACAGACATGATTCTGTCAGGAATCAGGAACTCTTCCAGAAATCGTTCTCTTTGATCACAGTTTGTTGTGAATTCCACAAATCAGTGAAAAAAGACATAACCATTCATAATCTAGAAACACCACCATATTCTTCTCCTAAAAGTCCAGCAGCTGCTCTCCTCAGTTCCTACATTTTACAAACTGTTATAAGAAGAGGTGATGTTACACGGTGGTGAGCACAAACCCTGTCCCAAATTTTTCCAGACGTGCTGCTGCCATCAAATTCAAAACAAGCTTTTTCTTAAGATGTTAAATTTTCTTAGGTTAAGTACTTGATATGTTTTCTGTGTTCTGTTGTGAGTAAAATATGGAATTTCTGAGATTTGCAAATAATTGCATTCAGTTTTATTCACGTTTTAAGCAGCCACCCTTTTGGAATTGGGTTTGCAGATAATCTAGATTGACTGTTATTAGGCTTTTCCCTTGTTGCGTTCTTACAACTGTTATCATAAGTGTCAAAAGCAGCGACAGCAGTTTGTATTTCCATTCCCTTACTCGTTGGTGGGTGTATTTTGTCCCCTTTGTGTCTCTGCAGAGTGGAGTTCACGGTTGGTGACACCCCCATCAACAACTTCCGTATGATTGAGAGACACTACTTCCGCGATCAGCTGCTAAAGAGTTTTGATTTTGAGTTTGGCTTCTGCATGCCCAGCAGCAAGAACACGTGCGAGCACATTTATGAGTTCCCCACGCTGTCCGAGGAAATGAGTGAGTGTCACACACTCCGACGCACTCGAGACAAATACCCCCGCCCCATGTTTAGATGGATTTGATGTTTCAGAACGCTGTGTGCTGTCTCTCTCCCCCTCTCAGTGCGTGAGATGATCCTGCACCCTTACGAGACGCAGTCTGACAGCTTCTACTTTGTGGACAACAAGCTGGTGATGCACAACAAGGCAGATTATTCCTACAGCGGAGGGCCGTAGGAAAGCCTCCATCCTGCAACCCTCCACCATTTCTCTCTTTCTCCTTCCCTGTTTTAGACATTTTCGATAATCCAGCTATCACTTCAGGACCAGAAACAGATGAACTGATGGACAAATCACTGGCATTAAATACTCATGTCTCCCTCCATGTTAAGCTCCATGCATTTCCATTCAGGTACTGAGCTGCCCGGCCAATCAGATTTCTCCCTTTGCCTCTTTTTTTTTTTTTTTTTTTTTGCAGAAACACTGAATTCTGCCAGTTTTATCCTCAGTTTGCATCAGCGTGCGTGAGTGAGTGTGTGGGCAGCAAACACATGCAGTGTCTGTACATAGTGTTGATTTCTGTCTGTATATGTGGGTTCCAGTTTCTCATCAGGAAAACTTTTTTTTTTTTTTTTTAATTTTGTGTGTTTTGGAAGAGAAACCGAAGTCAAACAGACGAGGCGGAAACACAGAATGAGACAAAGGAGGAAATGAAATTGCCCTAAAAGCAGAAAGAATAAAAAAAATCAGATGTATATTTACAGTATATAGTTTGTATAGGAGTCTCACTGTATTTGTACTGCAGAGGTTCAGAGAAGTCTTTGTAGTGGCACACGCATCTGAATGATTCGGTCCTCCTCCTGTGATCTGCCATCGTTCAGTTGAATGACGGCACTGTGTACTCTGTCTTTGTGAATGTGTCACTTGTTGTCATATATTTTCATGTCCGTAGTACTACTACTACTACTGTAGTGCGTGAGGAGTATTTTTTAAATAAATAGCCATTTTGGAAAAGTGTCAGAGAGTTACACTAGCCCAAAGTCAGATACCAATTTTGATATCCAGTACGATCTCTGTAGTACTGAGCACTGTGTATACTTTAATTACAATAAATGTTTTAAGCAAAAAAATAATAAAAGTATGTAAAAAAGTTTTGACAACCAAACTGCAATAAATGTGGGATTTTTGTGGGACCTTGATATTTGCTGTTTTTTTTTTTATTAACAGTGAAGTTCACTCCAAATACACCCACTAAAAAAGAAAAAAGACCTAAAGTTGAGGTACAGACGATACTATTGACTGAACTTGATTACCTTTAAATGGACTGATGCCCAAACCACAGTGGTTTATAAATTCCCTAGACTGCAGACTTTCCATTTAACATCCTCTACACTTTAAGATCCGCAGCTTTTATTTGTGATTCTTCTTCCTTTGACTTATTTGATGTAGAAAACAGTCAAATACACACAGAAAGTAAAGCATGTTCAAAGATTATCCCTAACACGCAACAAGCAAAACGTGTTTTTGTCGCCATCTTCTGTAGCAACAGTCTTACTGCACCGTTATTATTGCATCTCCCACTGTATCACTCATCAATCATCAGCATCTTTTCTTTTTTTTCTCTCAGCACATACTGTGCATGGTTCGAGCCAGTGAGTACATGATACACAGGTGTGTAAACATGAAACAACAAGGGGTTTTTTTGGACACCCAGAGGCAGTGGAAACCTTTCAGAGCAAAATTAGCAACCACGTAAGGTCATATTTCCAACCACCTGGTTTCATCCAAATATCTATCATCGACAGAATATTCTAACAGTTTCCAACTGTTGTCTTCTAATAGCAGGTAAAAGCAGGTGTAACTAATCACATTAATGAAGCTTGGTGCTGTTCTGCTTAGAAACTAAGCCTTCATTAATGTGATTAGTAACACCTGCCTTATCTTGCTGACTAGTTCAAGTCAAAAACAGCTGCTGTGAAGAAGGTTTGTTGTGTTTGTTTGCTGCTTGTTGCTGATCAGGGAGTGAGCCGCAGGAAAACATGAGAGAAGAAACAATGAACCAAAACAGGAAATCTTTAAGTACGACAGTTCAGCGAAACTCTCTTTATAGACAGGCTTTATAAACCTGAGAGGAGCTGCTTTGCTTTTCTTCAAATTTTAATTAGTTGTTATTGCATAATCATAGCTGGTTGGGAAAAATTCTAATAATAGAAAATGTTATTAACAAGATCGTTTACAGCTATTTCGTTTTATTCATTTTATTAACCACGTAGAAGAGCTCATAAGTGTGCACAGATTCACACAGGAGCAGTTGATTTATTCACATTTATTTGTACTGGATCTTTTTTTACAAACAGTAAAAAAAACTGATAATTCCTTAAACTACCTAAAAATACTGGGATACACAAAAATACCAATGTGACAACACACTCTGGGAAGGGTAAATAAATAGATACATTCAAAAATATATATATAGTTTTGCAAGAGAGCTTTATGCTTACTAAGTACTTTAATTACAGTTTTAATTCAGCCATTTCTCTTTTTATCCTCTGTGTATCAAACTTTTTTGGCTAATTATGAAGAGATTCAAAAAGCTCCAGCAACAACAATATCGCTTGACTGATATAGTTCTGGTTTTCATGGGGGTGTTTTTTGTTAACCTCTTTCTTTGCAATGACCTGAATTAAGGTGTTACTGGGGTTTTGATCCATCTGAGTTTATCCTCCATGCACTTTGTAAACCTCTAAAACTGAATAGTCTAATTCATCAGGAGCTATAAGAAGAAATGGAGGCGGAAAAATGTTTCAGACAATAACTATGCACAAGCTCTTCTGTCCTATCAGTTGAACTGTGACTGCACGCAGTGAAAATCTCAACAACCAATCTCACCAGAGTCTGTTGCAGCGATGGCTTAAGCAGTGGCGTCTCTAGAAAATTTTTGTTGGGGGGGCCAGGTAGGGGCACAGATTTGGAGAAGGGTGGCAGATGTAATTGGCAAATAATGTTAAAAAAATATTCTACCAACCGTTAACCATAATTCAATAACCCTATAAACCTAATAACCGAATGCGCTTTTAACTCTCATTAGAATGAGATTTTAACCACTACGGTGCAAAGTTTTTAGATACTGCGTTGATAAAGTACAAGAGATACAATCAGTACTTTGTCAGTGTTTATTCAGCATTCAAGGACAGCAATATTTGCATAGTATTTTTACTGACATATAGTGCACATATGTTTTGGGCAAAAACATTTTTGAATATTAAAATACGAACATTTTTAACATACAATTGGCAAATTAGCCAATGCCAATGTAAAACTT